GTACATGCATATTACTGTAATGGCAACAGTGTTTGATATTGTCCACCTGGTCTGTGGCGTACATGCATATTACTGTAATGGCAACAGTGTTTGATATTGTCCTTCAGAAGAGCTGAGCATCTGATAGATGACTCTTATATATGTAGGTTATGAAAGTCCCCAAGTCCTTGATGATATCTCAGTGCCCCAGAAGAGTATAAAATACTCTGCATCTTAACATCTAACAACTATCTGTACATCTGTCCCTTGTCACTCCTTATTAGTGATACTTTACTCTTACTCAGGAGACTTCAGAGGCCTTATAATGTGGTCCCAATTAAACATCACATGTGTTAGGAAAAGGCCTTCTTTGCAAAGCTTGCTTTTGTGTTAAACCAACGAAAAATGAAAGGGCATTTAAATGTCCATTGTGTCTAAGGCATTAATTATCCTATGATAAATACAGAAAATTACATGTGCCTGGACAGAAGTACATGAAATCTCATCCAGCTGAGACTCCTCTAAGCCAGGAGGGAATATATTCTCATACTAAGGAGCCTCCTAGACAGCATCCACATGTGCTACCAGCAGTTAAAACCCTGGCACCAAGTTTGAGGGAGCGTTGGAGCTAGGTTTTATGGAGCAGTGGAGCAAGTGTCAAATGGCAACTGAACATCCAGAGAAACTGGCGAATTTCAGCAAGGTATGGCATTGGTGATTGGGGTCAGTGCTGATAGAGGCCAATGGGGACACTTCTGATAGTGACATTAGCACTAATAGTGGTAATGGAAGCAAAACATAATTGTCTGTGGCTGGCATTCTTTGTAACCTGTGAGAAAATCTGAACTCTTTTAACTCTTTAGGGGGCAGTGAGAAAAAAACAGGAAAGAAAAAAATCATTCTCTCTCTCTCTCTCTCTCTCTCTCTCTCTCTCTCTCTCTCACACACACACACACACACACACACACACACAGACACACACACTTGGCCAGACCTGACCACTACTTTCATTCATTTTCACAAGTACAAATGTATACTTATATACATATACATATATACATCTGTATACACACACACATACATATATTGGTGGATGGAACAGATCTCAAACAGCCACACTTCTTTTATCTCAGCATTTTTATAGCTTCTTAGACAAAAATTCTTTTGAAATTACTTCACAGATAAAGTGTTACTCAAAAGGGGAGTTACGGAAGGATGGCGATAGTAAGTTCAAAGGAGTGTTTCATTCTATAAGCTCACTGAAGTTCAAAGTAACAGTTTCACATGGCCTTGCTTTATGATAGTGTACCTCATCCTTGTCCTTATCCTTGGACCTGACCTAGAATGAATGTTTTTTCTTTATCAAAAATCTGTTCCGAGCCTATTTCTCAGCGGTTTATGAAAGCTCATTGTATTCTTTATTATGCAGCCTTTACTTACTATTCTATGAGGAGTGAGAACGTTCTATTCTTGATTCTAACTTTATCTTTCTGATAAAACAACCAAAACCATCTCCTTAAACTTTCTTCCTAAAATTATTTGAATCAAATCAGGGATTCTATAAATCATTAATACATCTAAACAGCATTAATTGATGAAAGTTCATCTTTATGTTGATCTGCAGGGAATTTGCCCAATAGAGTGCGCTGATGCCCAGGAATCATTAGGCTATGCAAAGACAGTGGACCGTCTCTACAGCCCTCACTTGTTTGCCATAGCCTTTCCTACATAGCTTGTGCCAAGCCAGGTTGATCATCTGTGATGAGTTACATTGCTTCCAGCACCCCTTACCACATTCTCCCAGACAGAAAGACCTGGTGTGCATACCCCAGCTCTTTTATCCAATGCATAGAGAAGGAAGACTGAGTTGTGCTGGAATTGCAACACAGGTCTTGGCCTCTAAGCAGGAAGGGGGGACCTGGTAAGTGAGATTAGGGTAGGCCTGACAAGGAGGCTCTAGTGAATCCCAGGATGGTACTGGTAGAGTAAGTAAGAACCTGACAAATAGCCAACACTAATGTCAAAACATTGCATGAAAACACGTATTCTGCCAATCACCAGAAAAGCACCACAATTTAGGCAAAGCAATCTAGGGACATGGCAGATCCCATGGAAGAAAAGCTTCAGTGGGCAAGTGAGCCTCCCTGGAGACAGCCCTCAGCTATGATGGGTAGACTCTGGAAAGGCCTGGCTCCAGAGCCTTTGTCTGTGGATAGCTTCTTGCCACTGCTATGCTTTCTCCTATTTGTCACTGCCATATTCCTCACTTATGTGGTTCACTGTGAGTGGACACTTGGAGACCCTTCCTGCCTGTATCCTGGTGTGAGTACTTCTTGAATGATAGCCCACCCTATTGGGTAAGTTTCCTGCATATCAACATGAAGATGAATATTCTTGAGATAATGCTGTTTAGAGATTTTATGGAATTCCTGGTTTGATTTAAGTAGTTTTAGAAAGCTTGATTTAAGTAATTTTGTGAAGTTAGGGTAGTTTATAGAAAGTTGAGAGTTAGATTCAAGAATAGAATGTGCCCCCTGTCATAGGACAGCAAGAGAGCTGCATAAGTTAGAGAAAGGAGCACAGTGAGTGCTCATGTCTTGCAAGCCCGGAATGGTAGCAGCAATGAAAGTAGGCTTTAGGCAAGTTAATGATCAAAATATACATTCTAGGTTGGGCCTGAGTTCCTTGGTCTTGTGATCTAGGGATGTGGTAACATTTTTTTTTTTGGTGTGTACTAGGAAACAATGTTATGAATAAAGAATAAACAATTCTATTATAAATATAAGAATAGAGAACAAGATAATCAAGTCTAGCTGATCAAGACATCAAAAATGTAATAAAACAGATTATCTGTTCCTTAGTAAATGCAGATTACCTTCAGCCAGGAACAGGGAGAAACTTGGTACTATAGACTTGGCCTACTTAAACTTTGTTAATCTATGACAAGAGAATTATTGCTTTGGGGTTACAACGAGCCCCTCTTAGTGCTGACCTGCCTGTTAGCTGCTTTCAGCATTGACCCCAATCACCAATGCCACACCTCACTGTCTACCTCAGTTTACCCTGGGGATTCAAAGCTGGTCTTTGACAGAGACACAGTGAGAATCCTAGATAAGGGAGAAGAGGAGGCCATTTCCAAGAATCTTCAATGTTGGAGTTTGAGAATGTAGTGTTCCATGATCCTTCTTCAAAGAGGAGCAGCTTCCTTTGGGGGATTGGACAACATTGTTCTGCTCCTACAACCCCAGTCCTTCCCAACTCCCTCAGTCCTACTCTTCCCCACCACACATCACCAGCACACAAGCACACAAGTATTGTTGCCTGAGTGAAGAACAATTTCTTTCTGGCCCTAGTCTCAGCACCACTAATACTACCCACCACATATCACCATTCCACATACTTGCACTCCTTCCTAGAAGCGCCAGTTAGCCACAGGCCACAGCCTGGCTACTTAGCCCCACTTCATGGAAAACATCTCTCTGTCTCTCTGTCTCTGTCTCTCTGTCTCTCTCTCTTTGTCTCTCTCACTCCCCCCTCCCTCTCCCTCTCTCCCTCTCTCTCTCTCTCTCTCTCGCCATGGCTGTCCTGAAACTCACTCTGTAGACCAGGCTGGTCTTAAACTCAGAGATTTTACTTGTTTTACTTTTTACTTGTTTCTGCCTTCCAAGTGCCATGGTTAAAGGCATGTGCCACCACTGCCTGGCCATCAATAAATCTTTTGACTTAGGGAAATCATCTTCTGCCTCTACCCCCTGGTTCTTATGTCTTCCCTAGAAGACCTTTGAAGGTCTTTCCTAGCTATAAGGGGGTCTCTAACACTATCTCATTCTGAAAAGGTCCATTGCTATAGTGAGTGACAGCAACAGCAGATGTGGTCATTGGGAGCAATGTTTAGACCCCTGGATGTTGCAGACTCTAAATGGCTCTGATATCATGTGGGGGCTTCACACATATTTTTCTCCCTATCTTAACTACAGCTTGCACTTATTTGGAGTAGCCCTTTGTGGTTACAGGAAGAGTATTGCAGGGGCCTTACCTAGCTTGTATGCAGTGTTTTTGATGCAGAGTCTGCTGCAGCCCACTTGTGATCGTCTTCCTGTGGCAGCCGCTTAAGGCAGATAATGACATTCTACCACCATCCCTACTCCTGCTCTAGGCGGTTTCCCTTCTAGAAGGTACTGTAGGCAAATAGCTATCTCTTTCCACCTGCTTTCCTCCTCCCCAGCCACCAAATTCTGACCCCCCTTCTTTTCTTCTGTCCACTCCACTAGCTATCTGTGGTTAATTGTACAGTTTTCTGTTTAATGTTCTTAGAACATTCTGTTCTGTTCTTAGAACCTTATATTGCTTCCACTTGCATTGCTGTCTTCATGGCCTCATTCTCCTGACACTTCTATCCTGAGATGAAATGGACTTGGTGCACAGCAGGCTAGGTCACTGACATCCTAGTCCCAAGTCTAATGGTGCTAGACTTCTACAATGCTGCTGAAGAGCCAAGGGGGCTACATACTGACTCAACAGGTTATAGTAGCACCTCCCTGGTGGTTTGAATAAGAATGAGCCCCATAGGCTCATATATTTTAATGCTTAGTCATCAGAGAATGGTATTACTTGAGAATAATTAAAAGGATTGGGAACTGAGGCTTTGTTGGAGGTGTGTGTGACTTGGAGGTTTCAAAAACCCATGCCAACACCAGTCTCTCCCTCTCTGCCTGTGGATCAGGACGCAGCTCCCAGCTACTGCTCCAGTGCCTGCCTGAATACTACTGTGATCCCCAAATGATGGTAATGGACTAAATCTCTGAAACTGTAAGTAATGCAGTTGCCTTGGTAATGGTGTCTCTCCACAGCAATAGAACAGTGACTAAGACAATCCTCTTTGTTGGAGCTCTCCTTCTAGTTTGCTTTCTGCATTAAATTGAATGGAAATTTATTATTTTATGTGAAAACAGAGGGCAAGTGAAGCAACTGTTCAGAGATTTCCACTCTTTATTGCTAATTTGTATAAAGAGATAATGTTGTCACTGCCAATTTGGGTGGCCAACATGTGGCCAACAGCAGAAAAACTCATCCACAAGTGGCTCCTGAAGAACAACAACATTCTTGGTTTCTTTCAAAACTTTCAGGGGAAAGTGGTTCTGTTTATCAGGTAGGATGTTTGTGCACGGTAATGCCTTCTGATTTTTCCTAAGTTTGGCTCTTCGATTGCTGAACCAAATCTGAAATTAGAGCAACAGAAACATAGGTTTAGCATAATAAATAGTTTATGTTATGATGGAAAAACACACCATTCAATTTCATGTTACTAAGATTCTCTCCCTTATGGAAGAATCTAGTTTATAATTATTTATATCCTTTACAAAGCAGCAAGATAATCCAGGATCAAGAATGTGCATGTGAGCTCTTGGTTTCTATCCCATCACCACCATAAACCACCACCACCAACAACATGTATTTTAGTTTAGTTTCTGTGACTGGCATAAAATACCCTAGGAAAAAGCAACTTATGGAAGAAAGAGTTCATTTGACTTACAGTTCCAGGTTGCAGACCATTGCTAAGGGGAAGTCAAGGCAGACACTTAAATCATCACATCCACAATTAAGAGCACACAAATACATGGACTCTAGCTCACTTGCTACAGTTCAACTTGCTCTTTCTACTCTCATAAAAGCCAGAGCCACAAACCAAGGAATGGTGCTTCTGCCAACAGGCTGGGCCCCTTTATAGTAACTAACAATCAAGACAATCCCAACAGACATCTCACCAAGCTAACTCAATCTGCATATTTCCTCATTAAGACTCTTTTTCCAGATAATTTTAGATTGGGTCAAGCTGACATTTAAAAACCAAACATTACAATCCACTCCTTGTCAGTTTGATACACAAACACATTACTTTAAGCCATAACATTCATCTCTTGTCCCCAAAGTCTCATGTTAAATTAATATCATGAAAAAGATAGTATAACTTTAGAAATACCACAGTTTTTAAAATTCCAAGGCTTTAAAGTCCAAATATCTTAACTGTGAGCTCCTGTGAAATTAAAAACAAAACTAGTTATCTACTTAAACATCCTTATTCCAAAAGGAAGAACCGGGACATTGCAAATGAACAATCACATGTAAGCAAAACAAAAAACGCATCAGTGTGAATGCAAATCCTGTAGCTGAATGCTCAACACTTGTGACTCATAATCTGCTCAGCTCTAAAAGGCATGGACAGCCCCAGATTTCCAGCTCTGCCACATGCTTACTTTTTTGAACACTGACAAAATCACTTGGAGTTCTAGCATGACTCTGCATAGAAGTACTCCCGAAGAACACTGTTATCATAAGGAGCTGAATTTTAATTATGGTACATGTCCATGTGGTATGAATGTTATATGTGTTATATGTTATTTGTACTTTCATTAGATACATATAAACATAAGCACAATTCCTTTTGCATAAAGAGTAGGAAAAGCAGAACAGTTTGCTTTTCTTTCTACTTAGAAAATTATGTTTTGTTCAGTAATGGGAAAGAAATTCTAGCTGAACTCCTCCGACCATCTTTCCCAGTTTCCACACCCCCAAACATCCCTTAGTTCAAATCTCATTTGCCAATTTAAAGTAGAAAAGCAGAAATACAGCAACTTCTCAATGTTTAAGCTAAGACTGTCTGTGTCTTGAAGCAGGTTTGAGATGAAGTGCCTGGCTATAGTTCTACTATAAATGGACTGACCTTCACATTGTATTCTTCTACATTGATGAGCTTTGCAAGCTCTTTCCTGTGGAGAGAAAAGCATCAAGCTTTAATATTTGGCATTAGGGGTAAAATTAAGCACAATTTGTACGGTCTGTGCATGCTTTGAACTTCTTTAAAAGTTTTTTAGTGTGCATGGGCATGTGTGTGTGTGTGCGTGCACATGAGCATGTGTGTGTCTATGTGTTTGCATGTGTGTCTCTGTGCCACTTACATGCCTGCTGCCTATAAAGGTCAGAAGAGGCATCAAGATGCCCTGGAACTGGAGTTACCGATGACTGTGAGTCACCATGTGGCTGCTAGGACTTGAACTTGAGTCCTTTGGAGGAGTAGCCAGTGCTTGTAACTGGTGAGTCACCTCTCCAGTTGTTTCTGTGCATGTTTTAAAGTTTGCTGTATCCATTCACATCTCCCCAAGTACACTTTCTTTGTAATTCTTAGAAAAGTGTGTAGTTTAGAGGTAGTTACATGTCCTCACAAATTAAAAGATTTTTAATATATCTACAATCTGAAAAATTGCTAATGTTCACATTGATGAATAACAACAATGTCTAAATACATACTGTTCAATTTATACATTTTATGGCACTGAGGATTGAACATGGGATGTTGGACATGCTAGGCAGGTGCTATATCCCCAGCTCTTTGTATATTCTATTTTGAAATTGTGTCTTATTAAGTTTCATAGCCAGAACTTAGACTTTTTTCCAGCCAGGCTAACATGGAACTTGCACCCCCTGCTTTAGGAACCTATGCATCTCAGATTATAGGTCTGCACCAGCAGCCTCAGTTAGTGACATAAACTTTCTTCATGCATGCCATATCATTGCAGATACATGAAAGCACTCCATTCTCCTGAAGATGATTTTGATGAAATTTTATGTACAAATGCAGGGTCCTGGTACAGGTGATACATACAAAATACATGCAATTAGAAATTATCCAATCCTGAAACTTCTGAATATAAAAGAAAGTGACTGAGATAAAAAGGCAACAATTCAATCAGACAAAATATTTGCAAGCGAGTAACTAAACTCCAACAGAGACATATTTTAAAACATGCAAAAAAGGGTCAGTGGGTAAAAGCATTTGCTACCAAACCTGACCACCTCAGTTCTATCCCCAGAATCAACAAGGTGGAAGGAGAGAGAGAATCAACTTGCATAAATTATCCTCTGAACTTCCCATATATACCAAATCATATCAATAAATAAAGACTTAAAGAAATGTTTGACCCAGGAAGATAGGTTATGATAGCCTAAGCACAAGCGAAGGTGCTCAGAATATCTCATAAGTTAAGAAATGCAAATACAAGGCCAATGCTGCTTCCTCACATCCAGAAGGGTTGCTTTTGACAACATCCAGAAAATTACTTGCTTTAATGAGGCCCTGGAAACACTAGGAAATCATACTTTCTGCGATGCAACATCAAATTTTGTAGCAGGTGGTTCTTTTAAACTATGGACATCAAATTATTGAATCCAACAATTCTGATTCTAGGTATATACTCCAAAGGACTGAAAAATTCCAGGTTGAAAGGGGATTTTTCAAGCTGGTGAGATGGTTCAGTGGGTAAAGACAGATGCTGGCCAAGTCTAACGACCTGAGTATAATTCCTATCACACATATTGTGGGAGAGAACATTGCTCACTCAATTTGCTTTCTGATCTTGATTCATGCTGCCCACATATGTACATGTACACAAAATAACTAATTATTCTGTCTAATCATGCACAGCAACTCAAACTAGATCTCCTTCCACAGAGGGTGATAAAAGAAAAACACACAGTTTCTATGCAAAAGTGCCTTAGAACATTATTTGACCTTGGGAAAGCAGAAATTTTGCCCTATGTTTGAGCACAATGATGAACCTTGAGGACATCAGTCAAAGTGAAATATAATTAATAGCCAGAAACAGGCAGATTATGGGACAAACATCTCTTTAACTCATAAAGTGGTCCCTCATGTAAAGTGCCCAAAAAGTCAGAGTTCAGAGGATGAAAATTTAGAATAGTGATAGTTGGGGACCAGGGGAAGAAATGGCAGCTATTAAAAGGGGACACAGGATTTTGGTTTGTCAACGCAAGGAGTTTTCTGATTTCCCAAGGCAACTTGAAAATACTCCATGATGGTGAATTCAGAATTAAAAACATTGTTTAGATCAAGTGTGTTAAGCTTTTATGTTTTAGGACTATTCTAAAGTTAAAGCAAACAAAGCAAGTGACCAATGATCATTTTATAAACTTAGTTTACACATAAAAAAGCTTTTTACACAAAAAATGTTGACTTTGGTTCCCACAAGGTATCCTGCTCACTCACACCAGTAGGGAAGAGAGTCAAGACCAGCAGGTACAACTGAAATTTCAGCTGCTGAGGAGGCTGAGGCAGAAGAATCAGCAGTTTAAAAAACTGGCTGGGCTAGAGTACAGTTAAGGCCAGCCTAGGCCAGCCTAGGCCAGCCTATATAGCTCATATTCTGTGTCAGAGGAATAGGGGCTTTAAAAGTGTGTAGCTCAGTGGTACAGAGCCTGTCTGAGACCGGAGCTCTAGGTTTGGTCTTTAGGACACAAATTAACTAAGGAGAGTCAGGAAGGAAGAACAGAACCTAAAGCCCTGGAATAACTGCTAAGTTAGCCGCATACATACCTTTGGAGTGCATCAGGGTATTGAGTTTCTTCAAAAACTCTGTCTAGTTCAAGTTGTTGTTCGGGAGTGAACTTGTACTGCTTTCGGCAATACTTGGTTGGCTTTTGAAAAACTGGCTCCTCTTCCTCATCGTCCTCTTCTTGTGTAGGCTCACTGGGGATCCTACGGGTGTCGCTCTTCATTGGACGGTTATAGTTATGGTCAATCACAGCGTTCATGTGGCTCAGCTCTTTCAGGATGCTTAAGACTTCTTCAGTGTGGTTGCCATCTGCTGTCGCTGCCTTCCCTTGCTGGAGTTCAGATGCTACTTCTTCTTCATAAAAGTCCACACCATAATAGTCAAGATCGAAGTAGTATTTTTTATACGCCATGGCTGGAGCTCTGCAGAAGATACTAGGCTCTGGAGTCGCAGAGGCTTCAAGCCTCCGAGCATGGAAGCGAGCAGTTTCGAACGCTCCAGACAATAGCGTGGTAGATTATTTAACGTAACCCATTGGCTCTTGGCTAACGGCTGTGGGTGGGGCTTGCGTTGGTTGGTGGCAGGGGGAGAGGGAGGCGTGGCAAACGGGCAGCTTGGAGAAGAATGGTGCTTTCATGACACATTTGAGCCACAAGTTGGACTTGAGCTGAGTAGTTTCTCGACCTCCAGATCTAATGAGGGTAGAAAGCTTGACGCGAAAAGTTTACTTGCTAGTGAGTCCTGTTGTCCCCATGGTCACCTTGAAAAATCTAATTTTGAAAATATTTAAATTACTGTATTTTTATTTCAGTGTGTGTGTGTGTGTGTGTGTTTGTGTGTGTGTGTGTGTGTGTGTGTGTTTGTGTGTGATATGTGAAGGTCAGAGGACAGTTTGTATGAATCCGTTTTCTCCTTCTACCACGTGGGTCCCAGGGATTAAACTCAGGTTGTCAGGCTCAGTTACAAGCACTTTTACCCATTCAGCTTTCTCACTGGCCCAGCATTTTTGTTTTTGGAATCTTCTTCAGAATCCATATATAATATTTTACCCAGTGGTGATCACAATCCAAAATGTAGACACTGCACGGAGCCCAACCTTCAAAATTGAGAGCTCATTAGAATCCTCCTACTCCTGTTTTTCTTAGTGCTGAGTTGGAATCCAGCACATGCTGAGCAAACTCTCTACCACAAATCTATAAATATGGAACCCTTTAGGCTAATGTTAAAGAAATGCACACAATAAAGGAACTTGTGTCTGATTAACTTCAATGCTATCGCTCTGTTCTTGGAAATAACTCTGTGGTAGAGAGCACTTGCCTAGCATGGTTGAGTATTTGAACTCTAACATTGCAACAAAAGCCATATAACTCTATATAAAAGATACTTTTTGTTGTTGTTCTGGGTAGAAAAACCTAATCTAAGGGCCATTCTTGCCAGGAAGCTGGTAGTCTGACTGTTGATTTTTTACTCCTCCTTCTGCTCTTCCAGGTCCAATCCTCAGTCTCATCCCCAGCTATATGGCAGAACACCTGCTGTTGTCTCCCTTCCTCTATGATTCCATGCTGAGCAGATCACAAAGATCTTTTCCTCCAACCTGCTTTCCCCCAACTTATCCCACTATCCCAGCCTCCAGCACCAGTAGGCATTCCCTGGGAACGCTTCAGCTGAGTAGGCCAGGGAAACAGATCCACAAAAAAATTTCCTACCAGCCAGCACACAGCCACCAGACTTTCTTAAAAAGTCCATGGAGGAAGCAGAAACCAAGGAACAAAACAGCCACCCAACAGACACAAAACCAGATACCTGCACCTACACCTATAATTATCCCAATTCCAGATGCCTGGACTCCAGTGAAAGAATGCAGTAACAGCCAGGACAATATGTCTCCACTGGAGCCCAAGAATCCTACCACAGTAGGCCCTGAATATTCTAACATAACTGAAGATCAGTGTTAATAGTTTCTTAAATATTAAATGCAAGCCTTTTCTTCAATAGTAGTTGGTTCCTGTAACCTGGAGACACATATTCTGAGCACATAGTACAGTGCCACACTACGAACACACTGAGGTGAAAATATTCCCACCCCTGACAACATCCTGCTTTCCAGGACATTTTGCAACTCTTCTTTATGTCTTTTATTTTTTCAGATGTTTAGGAAATATTCATTGCACAAAATGGGCTCTTTTTATAGAAGTCAGATGTATAAATCACATAATTATGTATGTCTAATATGCATGCCCCATTCACTGTGCAGGCTTTGCTACCTCATGCTAGGCCTGGGAGTCTGTCATGATGGTGTGGAATGGCCAGATTCCAAGACACTTACCAGGCTGAGCCAATAGGCAAAATGAATGATCCAAGACAGTTCTGGGAGTGTGAAGATGGTTGTGAGGATGGGATCTTGATCATTCAGTAGACTGTGCTGGCCCAAGCTGCTTGACCCCCACCTAAGGTCTGGGACTGTGGGGATGGTATAGGCATATAGAGGTCTGAGTCACTCAAAAGGCAAGGCCAGTATACAGGCTGCTTGACCCTAAGCTTGGACTTGGAGTTTAAAGTTGGAATGAAAGGCAGGGAGGGGCTAAGTCATTCACAAGACTGGGCTGTGTGGACAGGCAGTGTGACAAAAGTAGAGCTTGGAGTGGGAGTCTGGCTGCGGGAGGCAAGTTATTGGGAACTAGGCAGGCTTTGTGAGAACAGCTAGGCCTGCAAGTATGAGGCTGGTGTGAGAAACCATGGTCCTGAACACTCAACAAGCTGGGCTGTTGCCCAGCCTGCATGACCCTGGCTGAGCATTTGGCAGGTAGGTAACACTAATAAGCAAGGTTCTGGGAGACACACCAGATGAAACTGTTCACACAAAGTAGGCCTCAGACTGTGAACATGAGGAAGGGACTGGAGCAAGACACTGAACAGGGAGGGATGGTGATCCAATATTGAGATGGGGACTGTGGGAAGGTGAAGGCAGGTGGTGCAATGGGCAATCAGTGTGTCTAGCTGACAGAAAAGCTGCCTAACCACAGGGTATCTCTAGGAATTTGAGGCTTGTCAGGGAAAGGAGAGTCTTGATTACTGTCTATGGCAGAATTAGTAATCTGGCCACTTAACCTCTCTCATAGGCTCAGCTGCTCTGCAAACTTTTTGACCCCAGTTAGACCTGGGAGTATGGTAATGATGAGGAAAAAGTAGGGTTTGGGGGGAGGGTTACTCACCTGGTTGGAGTTGTGACATCATTTCCTTCATGAGCAGGTGCAGGAGACCAAGAGTCTGAGTTACAAAGGAGTCTTGGCTGGTCTGGTAGCTTCTGGAGTGAGAACTCTCAGGATATAGCACAATGGTGGGGTCTTGATCTCCGTCCAAGAGGGACCTGAGAAGGTGGCAATATCCTAGTCGTTAAAGAGACACTGTTCCCTCACCAGGATGGGCTTGAGTGCAGGCTGTATGTCTAAAGTTAGGCCTGGAAGTCTTGCACAACACTTGTAGGAATTTGAGCTCTCACGAGGAGGGGCTGGAACACATTATGATTGAGCTCTGGTATGCTAGAGGCTTGGAAGATGACTTACGCAGGCAAGGTTTTTAGGAACCCACCAAGTTGGGTTGCTATGAAAACTCTGTGAAGCCAGCCTGTCAATATAAATATGTTTTGAGAGTTGTGCTGGCTAGTTTTATGTCAATTTGACACAAGTTAAACTCATCTAAGATGAGGGAACCACAATTAAGAAAATGCCTCTGTAGAATCAGGTGGTAGGCAAGCCTGCAGGATATTTTCTTAATTAGTGAGCTAGGAGGGAGGTCCAGCCCACTGTGGCTGATGCCACCCTTGGGCTATTGGTCCTAGGTTCTGTAAGAAAGCAAGCTGAGCAAGCCAGGGGAAGCAAGCCAGTAAGCAGCACCCCTCCATGGCCTCTGCATCAATTCCTGCCTCCAGGTTCCTTCCCTGTGTGAGTTCCTGTCCTGACTTCCTTTGGTGATGACCAACTATGGGAAGTATAAGCTGAATAAACCCTCCCTCCCCCAACTTGCTTTTTGGTCATGATGTTTCATGGCAGTAATAGAAAACCTGACTAAGACAGCAGGCAAGCTAGATTTGGGATTGTGAGGATGGTACATGAATTTAGGAGCTTGATCACTTAACGAGTCTGGGCTTGTACCCAAGTTTTTTTACCTTAGCCTGGCAATGTGGGGATAGCACAAGAAGGCAAGAGTTCTGTTCACTTACAAGGATGCCTTCAGTACAAGCTTGGTGGGTAAAGCTAAGCCTTGGGAGTGTACTGACAGCAGCAGGCTAGAATTTTTGAGTTCTCACCGAGCTGGGATGTGCAGTCTGGTTGACCCTGGCTGGACATGACAGTGGTCAGCGGCTAGAGTCTTAAGATCTCACCAGTCATTGATAGTGCCCAGGTTGACTGACAGCAGCTCGATCTAGGAGTGTAGTATCAATTCAAAGGAGTTGAATTCTGGATCATCAATCAGGCTGGCTTGTGAGAAAGCTGTGATACCTGGACTAAGTCTAGGGGTATGGAGATGGTGCATGAGGGCAGGGTCTTGCTCCCTCACCAGCTGGGGTAGGTTGATGGTCAGTCTACTTCAGCTATTCTATAACTGGGAGTACAGAGATATCCTAGAATTACATTGAGTCATTCACCAGGCTGGGTTCTAGTGCAGGCCATGCCAAGCTAGGCTTTGACTTATTGAAAGAGGATCTTGATCTCTCAACAGGTTGTGATAGTACACTATATGTTTGGCTCAGTCTAGGACAGATTTTGTTTTTCCAGCTATTGCAGGCACTCATCAAGCTTTTTGGTAACAGCTAGGTCTCAGAGTATCAGATTTTGTGGGAGACAGCAGTCCTAGACATTTCACCAGTCTTGGCTGCTGTCTGGGCTTTATGATTTCCCAAGGTATTGGGTGGTAGAGATAGCACCTGAGATCAGAAGTCTGTAGACTCAGCTGGCTACACTGGTCAATGATCTGATTCATCGAAACGAGGCCTAGGGCAGTGAGAAAGGTGCTGTAGCAGCAGTTTTGATCATGGAACATGGACGCCTGATCCTCAGGCTATGTGAAACAATATTAGGATGGGAACTTGGTGAAGATTAAGGCTGGTGAGGCTTTGGGGAAATCATTATGCTTGGTTGCTGGGCAAGTTGCTGGGATTGTTAGGATAGTGGGGTAGAATTGGATCTTCATTACTCGATTAGGGTAGGCTAGTGAGCGGGCAGCTTGACCCTAACTCAAACTGTGGGAATGGCATAAGACGGCAAAGGTTGGAGTCACACACAGGCTCAGTTTTATGTAGGCTTTTTTTTTTTTACCCCAGGTTGGTCTGGGAATGTGTGAGTTAAGGGATTAGGGTCATTTCAGGGTCATTCACCTGGTTGAGGTAGTGCATATTCTGCTTGTGACTGTGGT